GAGGGCCTATGAGTGTGAGATAAAGAAGGCATTTAGAGTAGAGGGCATGAAGCAAGGTACAGCGTAATCCATGCGTTATCGAATAGCATTGAATAAATTACATTTTATTCCACGACATGATACAAAAATTCGGGCTCCGAGCAGAACGCTTCCCTATCGTCCTGCGTAAAGATTTGGCTATAGCTTGGCCTGCTCTCCTGTCTTTGCCTTGTTCGATTTCCTCAATGCTGCTGTCCTGCTCCCACCTGCGATGGTAGCATGTACAGCAGAAACGTAAAGTTTGTCCGTGTGAAGGTCACGAAGCTGTGGTACAAACAGTTACTACAAGCTAAAGCAACGATTTGTGACTTACCTCAGACTTTGCGCTCCGAATCAAGCCCTCCACAAATATCGTGTTTGATACTATTTTGAGCGTCTTCCCGCTACAAGCCGGGACGGTTATCAGAAGTTATTTTCGAGAGTGTTACCAAGCGACGCACGTAGTGATCGGTCTATGCCACTGGATATTCATGGAGGCAGATACGCCTGTTCCGTCGGTTCCGTTGTAGATACCATAGCAGACGACAGAGGTCGATGAGCATCTTGAAGGAAACAACGTAAATATATTCAAGTGGTGGAATGAGGGACATACAAGTCAATGAGATACGCGGCACATCCACCGTGCAGAGTGCCGTAGATGTTACACATGTCTAGAGGCTAATGAAGAGCCGAACACCATGCTAAAACTAAAAACTCACCCTTTGTAACTTCTACCTCACAAATCGTCTGCGTTTCAGCACTTTTCTTGGCTTTTACTGTCTCTGCTTCGCTCTTTCCTTCAAGGCCACCTGGTACGAACACATCCGCCCTTACCATTCTGATGTTTTTCCCAATGTCTGCACCGAAGCTCGTCTGTGGCGTACCAACGAAGTGTCTGAAGAAACGCTCATTTTCTTCCTTTAACGCGAGCGGGATGTTTCCTTGGATGTGTGCCATTGGAAAGGACTACAAAAGCTGCTTCAACCTGGAAGCAAGGCTCGCTGTGAAGGTGGACAAGATAAGTAACTACCCGTCTCCATTGGGCGACACCAGGTAACCTGTGGGCGCCAAACACGAGGAGTTAGCGCTCGGACTCCGGGCCGTCGGGAATCCGCGGATCAAGATCTACCCAGATGAGAAACCCTAATGTGACGTCAAGTGGAGTAACCCTACGGTTGCTCAGTGTTTACGCTCGAAACTCTTCTTCGTTTCAACCACCAGCGTGCGAAACAACGACGTATATTACGACGTAGTGGCCCTTCTATGTATACGCTTTGAGGCCCGAACAGCTCCAATATTATTCTTCGACCTGTACCACCAGTACAAGATCCAATACCCCCGGATTCTTTGCTTTTGTAACTGAGACAAGGTAGAAATCAAGCTCCACAAAAACATACAAACTAATGGCCCCGCCCCAACAGAACTCCAAAGTTTCCAAAGTCTCCATAGTATCCACTTGCGATCCACAGATACCCATATATTTCAAACAGCCGTACAGTAATAATGGCTGGCGACCACAAATGCTCGTACGTTTCGGTTTACTTCATCGTACCGTCCCTATGTTCAACTATCCCTCAAAGTGTTTGCTCCGCGACATTCACTCGTCCTCAGCATGTTGTGAGGCATATGAGATCTCGTAAGTCCTAACAAGAAACATCTTTCAGTCTTCTTGTTCAACATTTCATCAGACACTGGCGATAGGCCGTACAAATGCCAGCACTGCGGAGACCAGTTTTCTCGATCTGACCTCTTATCGAGACACGTTAATAAATGTCATGTCAACGAAAAGGCCAGTGGAACTACAGTAACGACAAACGATACCCATGGACGGAGAAAAGGCATGAATGCCGGTGCAACGAGAGCGACGACAAGCAAACAGGCCTGTGATCAGTGCGTACAGAGCAGTTTGCCCTGTGATGGCTGCAATCCTTGCGGTAATTTCAAGTCTGTTTTCTTCTTCTTTCTCTTAATTGACCGCAATCTATCCAGCAAAATGCGTTCAACGCAAGGTTCGATGTACGTTTGTTAAATTTCACCGACAAACGGCTCCGATTGGGCCGGGACATAATCCGTCCAGGCAAAGCAACGCTCCTTCGACTTCACATCCGCCTTCAATGCAACAGCACCAACCCCCGAATTACAACTCTGCTACTCCTATGGTACCAGGACCGCTATATAGCGGCTTCGAAATCCCCATTCTCTTCCGTCTAACTATCCAGGCATAGTCGGTTACGGCGAAGATGATCAATTTATCTTGAACCCAGCCCCTGGTCCGTCGTATAATTATCGTTCACAGCAATCGGATTTGCATCGTCGTGCTTCATTCCCTTCCTCCTCTGCCCAGAATCAAGCGTGGCTTGGGTGGCATGCGAGCTCGGAAAATCACGGAGGGCCAAATCCTGCCCAATTCGGCGCTGATACAGGAAGCCAGTTTGCTTTCGATATCGGAGCAGACTATAGGGTGAATATACTATGCGTTTTCGATTTTTTTGGACCAACTGATACATTTTATTTAGGAGCCGCCATTTACGTTACGCCATCCGCACCAGAACCAAAGTCATCCTCACCTACATCCTTCCGCGTCCACTGTCTCATTCTCTTCTTCGTCTTCGTCATCTTCCAACCGTGATCCCTATACAGACTCTCGTCCCGGTTCTGCCAGTTCCTTCGGCGGAGATGACCCGCCTTCTAGACCCGGCACATCAAGCTCTTTTGCTGCGAGTAGACCTGGAACAAGTAGCTCTGTCGATGGTTCGTCAAATAACTCTTCAAACGGCGGCTTCTCATCCGCGTTCGGGCTGATGTCTCTCGACGATCCAGCAGTTTTAGCCGGTCTTGCAGATGGCACGCCCTTTTTCAGCCATCTGAACCAAATGCCCGACATGAACAATCATTCTGGCTCTACGGGGATCACATTAGAGGACGTGAATGACGCCGTTGGGACCGGACTAGGGATGAGGAACGACCCAGACGCAACACCGATGCCGATGGGTGAGGCCCAGGCGATGGGACTAATTGCGCCTGGCCATCGCGATCATTCATCGACATCCTCGAACTCGCCCTCACATCAGTCCCAGCATTTCCCTCGTGCCAGACCCAGCACCGGACACGGACGAAGCTCCAACCCAAATTGGGGATCTATACCCAACTCGGACATTGGGACCCCTGGTCGAGATGCGGAGACCCGGGAACTTCGAGATTTCTGGAAGGCGTACATGAGAACACCGCTGAGTGGGCCCGGAGGAGGCGCCTCTGGGATACTGGGGGCCCCTTCGTCTCAAGGCATGCATATGCTCTCGTCAAACGGTGGGAATGGAATGAATTCTTCGCTCGGTCCACCCTCGGGGACTGCTCCACCGGGTTATCGGCGGCAGCGAGTTTCTTCCATGCCTACGGTTAAAACCCCGCCAGCACTCACGGATGAAGAGCGGTACACGGGATCGTTCATCGGTTTGACTGCACCATATGAAAGATATCCGCCGCCGTTGGCTGTACCGTCCCACCGAGGGAATAACCAGCAGAACTATCAGTCTCAAGGCGCTCCTGCTGCTGGAGCGACCATGCATGGTAATGCGGAGGATCTGCGGAGCTATGAGGCTGCTGTTCTTGCCAGGAAAGCGCCCGTTAATCTTAGTATGTCTGGTTTGGGTGGGAAGATGCGCAGGAAAGCAGGTGGAAGTGGAGGCGGCGCGAGAAATGGCAATGATTTTTCCAACATTATTGGGCGCGGTCAATCACATGCTTCCCCTTCGTTCTCTGGTTCATCGCCGTCTTCAACTTCGGCGTCCTCTGTCTCTCCCTCCCCCTCAATTCCTCAGTCTATTCCGCAGTCTATAGTAGATGACATCGCTAATCGCCCGTCATTCAAACGCGGTGCGTCACAAGTGCTGGAAAAAAGTGGTAGTGGGAAGTTCGCTAGGAGGGCGTCGAACGCTATGGACCACGAGTTCGACGCTGAGGTAATGGGTTTGAGTGTCTCTGGTGGAGGCGGGGGAGGATTGCAAGCGAGCGCCTGAAGGTATTTTCTTAGATCTCTTTCTTAACGAGCTTAGTACTTTTGTTAATAAACATAGGTTCGAGTTTGACACTCAATACGTTATGTATTATAATACCCTTTTTTTTCTGTTCTTTTTTCCATCTCCTCTTCCGAATCCTCTTTGACATAAACTTTTATCGTCGTTTTTGTCGAATAATTCCAAATGCTTGCACCCAAATTTGTATTTGTACTTTACTGTTTATACATATCAAACGAAGCTGTGAGCAGTGTTCCATTAGTATAACTAGGTCTCCTTAGACCAAGAGCAGGACATCAAAAAGAAGCTGCGATCGCAGTTGAGCGGGATGCGATACCTGCCCTCTTTCAACCACTCAGCCAATAACCGTGTTCGGGTGTGTCTCGGCTTCCCACAGTTCATTGTTCATAGACCGAAACAATTGACTGGGGGCTAACCTTGTTAATTAAAATGATAAGAGAATCACAAGAATCAGATTGACTTGTGGCATGTAAAATTAAGTCGGCATCAAGTTTAGATCCTTGTGAAAGAAAACCTTATTTCTCCAATTCAAGTCACCGGTTGCGTCCGACTTCGATGACTACGGCGGGTTTGGCCTCAGGATTTAGAACTCTGTTTAGATTAGAAAATGGACAGCGTGGGTGGATATTCAGATCGGAGCAAACAGGACTGACTACATGTCAAGAATAACGCTGTACCCGTGGGACCCTCCCAAAAAATAAATGCCATCACAGGCCAGTGCTGCGACCTGTGCGGTGAGCTGGAAGACATAGGGGTGAGCATAAACTAAAATCAGCCTATAATCAGCGAGCCTGGCTGAAGGTACAACGTCGTAGAGCTTGTCCCAAATTCAATATGGAGATGAACGTTCAGCACTTGCCACTTCGCATACCATGAGAGGCCAACAAGGAGTGATCCACACTAACAAAAAAGACGGCGAACCGTGAACATAACAAGGGAAGCGACAAGCTGCCCCAGAGAGGCTCAAACTCTCGACCTTCCGATACATACAGTCGGACGCTGTAACCAACTCAGCCATGGGGCATTGTTAAGGATCGGACAACGCTCTTCTAGGACCTACATCTCCTATATATAATTACTACCGAACCTAATATAAGGCTTGAAGCTCTTGGAACCTACCCTCTCTGCCAACTTTTAATGATATTCATGTAAGTTGAACTCCCGCATCTCCTCATGTATGTTGGTTTCTTGCGAAAAGATGAGGGGGTGAGCCAGTGTTGATCCAACGGAAATAAGCAAAAAATGAAGAACGTGAATGTAGGCGGGGCCGTGTTACTTACCTACCCCAGAGAGGGTCGAACTCTTGACCTTCCGAATGTTCATGAGGCTGTGACCAACTCAGCCATAGCGTATTGTTGATAATCTTGAACCTAATTCATAATAACTTGAGGATTAAATTTCTCCTAATTTCTTTCTTTCTTTCTTTCTTTCTTTCTTTCTATCTATCGATCTACCTTTCATAACAACTTGAGAATTGATATCCTCTCCCAATTTTTTTCTAATGTTATTGAACTTCTGCGTCTCTGGCATAACACAAAAACGGGACAAAGCATATAGCCAAATTCACAGCCGCCCCAGAGAGGTTCGAGCTCTTAACCTTCCGATCTATTCATTATAATCAATAGCAGATCATAACAGTCGGACGCTGTTAACCAACTCAGGCATGGGGCATAATTGAGCAGTGGAAAACGCACGCCAAGACGCACGCTGTTTTTGTCATTGGCCATTGACTGCGATGAGTGACAAAGACAAGATATTTGGTTATGGATGAAGATCGGAGGAAGATCAAAAGAAGAGCTCTAGCCAGTGGTTATATCAGACAATCTAAGTTGTGGAAGTCGATTACTATCTCCGAAGTTCAAGATCAAATTCTTATTCTCAACCTCGTCAATGATACTTAGTTAGCAAGTCCCGCAGATTGTAGTACTCCTGGTACGAGGTTCTGTGCTACATCCTCCGTTTCACGCCACAGTTTTCGCTGCATTAGCTTCCCTTTCTCAGTCTCCATCCACGAAATAACTCTACAGATAATCGGTAAGTAGGAGTTCAAGCAAACTGCCAGGCAAAGCTTACGGTTCAACGTCGTACACCAACAGAAACTCTCCGTGGCTCTTCTTTCCAGATGCACCGGCTGCGTTTACCAAAACTCTTGCTCCAACCTCCGGTGACCTTCCACGAAGAGTCGTCACAATGCGCCCAAGAATTCTTAGGGGAAGAGAGAGATCGCGTGCGAGGTTTGTTGCCACCATTCCAGGACACATGTAGTTAACGATTACAGTCGAAAAGTCGACGTGCTGCGCCAACTCCCTCACGAAAAGACAAACGAGAAGTTTCGAATCCGGGTAGAGTGACCACGGCTCAAATGATCCCTTATCATTGAACGTGTCAAAGATGTAAGTTGAGTCCGGAATAGGGTCTTTAATGTAACGCGAGTTGCTATAGCTTTGAGAAGAGACAATAGAGAGATAGGAAGGTCCTTGAGAACTATTGGATTCTGCGGTGATGCGAAGTAGAGGGAGGAGCAGGAGGGAGAGTATCGCGTTCGATAAATAATTGACCTGGAAACTCATCTCATTCTGGGTTTCAGGAGAAGTTTTCCAGTCAAGGGTGAAGATGCCTGCATTTAGCAGGACAATATGGAGTTGGGCGATTTCTGCTTTGATTTTAGAAGCAAAGGCAGTAACGGATGAATGAGTCGAAAGATCGAGCTCGTAAACAAGGATTTTAGGCTCTTCCTTTCTGGTCTTCACGTCTGGATGCGCAAGCAGGTGCGACTTCACTACCTCGCCGTCAGAAAGACGTCGAACAGTGATTATGAGAGTTGAAATATTGTGACGAAGGTAGTGCAAACACGCTGCTTGACCTAAGCCACTGTTTGCACCGGTGACGAGCCCTGTTTTTCCACGAAAATCAAGGGAAGTAGGGAGGGGAGGAACACGAGGCTGCATATAGGGCATTGTCGACTGTTTGGAGAATTACCATACATGTCTGCTTCTTTTTAAGGTGAAAGTGCCATCGGAAATCCCGACTCCTCAGTCGGATGTTCCGGACTCTATTTACAATTTTACACTTATCGTCCCGGCATCATTCAATGGCAACGTAGGCCATTTCATTCAAAAAAAGTGTCGAGTGCTCTGCTTACCTGTGGTTAACGGCAGGTGATAGCGGTAATGATAGAGGTTGTGATCCGTTTTCCTGATCATAATCAGGTAGAAGTTGTAGAAGTGAGCGCATCGCGTCGTCAAAATGTGTAGCTGTTCGAAGGGGTGAAACAACAGTGATGTCGGAAGAACCTCGAGATGAGAGTATTTTTGACTAGGTTAACTTTGGCACAAGTAGAGATAGGAAAACTTACTCCATAAATGGCTGACTGGCCATGTAACATGTTATCTGTGTAGCAGATATATGGATGGGGTGTTCGTGCCCATACAGAAGAAAATCCGACGCGATAGGCCACTGCGATGGGTAGGTGAGCCGTGCAGGGAATTCACACTTAAGCAAGCCACTTTGGCACTAGGTCAGTAGGTCAAGTATTCATTCCTTCCAGCTTTGGAAGGTTACTGTATGGTTTTTGATTTCGGACACATGTTGGGCAGCAGTAGCAGTAGCCAACCCTATGACCCATATGGCCTTATCGAAATCGGCGGGGTCGTTTGCAGTAGCTGGGTTTGACAATTCGGGCAAGCTATGCCGCTTGCGAGTAGACATTCTGAGAAGAATGAATAGTCATAAAGCTAGAGCAGAAATTCGCTGACTCTGAGTCACAATAAAGAAATTGGTTGGACGCGGGAAGTAAAATGTTTCAAGGTTATGATAGAGTGGAGGACGCGTCGACGACCATTAGCGTGTCCTGTTTGAAGCCTGTACATGGTGCTCAAGCGTGCTTTGGAGCCACGCAAGAAGCAGCAAGCAAATGACAATGTGGGATTCGACACGCGGTTGATTCGTAACCATCGCCAAGTTTAGGGTCTATATTTCGCTATCACTGTTCTTGTCATCATCATCTTCTACTCCCGATCCTTTACGAGTCAATCCAATTTCACCCTCGCCACCATCCTCAACAGATATACTAGCCTTTTCCTCTTCAACCCTCATCGACATCTTCCGAACGGCGCATTTTGGAGGATGTTTGCATTACACTTGCCTCTGCTTGTTCCGCTCCCGCTCCTCCCTTAACGATTGAAGCTTGAAGGCGTACAACCTCTTTCTGATGGTGCTCAGTACCAGGTGGTCTTCTACGTCTCCGTTCATTTGATGGTCCTTCAGCCGCACTTGGTTCACGACATCGAGCAGGGTAGTCTTGGGAGATCTACACGGTCTTCCTAATTTTGCTTGGATTTGCGAAGGATCTGAGGTAGCAACAAGCTGGAACAGAAAGTTCATGCTGAAAAGAATTGAAGTGTATCAAAAGAAGTCGAAATGGTCTGTTCATATATCTGGGATACCTGGGAGATGCCGTTCCATTGGCTTGATTCTTCAATTCCGGAAGATTCTGGTGGCTAGAGAGCCCCGATTGTTTGGTTAGCTAGAATTTGAACATAAAAGCCAAGCGAGCCAGAGATGTGTCAGAGAAAAGACTCGAGGTTTCGTGATTAGCCTGGCTACGCTTGTAGTTCTCGAAGTTCAAGAAACGTGAATGTATGGTGAATGGTGACGAAAATCATGTGATCAAGCAACCAATGCCTCGACCGGGGCCGGCCGCCGAAAGCCAAACATTAAACTTTCACTCCACCTTCGCTGACATTCGCCATGAGTGTCTACTGGCCAACCTTACTGAAAATGGAGGCCCAAGCATCTCCAGAAGTTTTTATCGAATATTATCATGAGTTCCGGTCTTGATTTTTGCCAATCTTTCGTCTCTGGATCGCCATGGTCTTGCCAGCCAGACGATTATAACCTGCAAGTTCCGCTTTAGCCCAGGACCAGGTCTTACACTGTTGATTTCGACTTTTTACTAGTGAAAGCGTTTGGCTTCTTGTGAACCAGCCGTCACCTTGAATATCTGACTGGTCCTTGGCCTCAACCGTCAAGTAGCCCAGTTTCTCTCGAAACCAGGATACCAGCGCTCAATTTCTATCTCAAAATCTAATCGTGTGAAACGAGCACTACAGGAAGCCATCGTCCAACACTAGTACCAGCAATATTTTTGTCTCCAAATGTTATCTTGATAGAACATACCGGTGAGTCGTAGTTCCTCCATACCGGGACGAGAAGCGAATAGAAAACAAAGATTACATAAAGCAAAGATACTCTTGGCAAACTTGTCGGGTGGTTGGGCTTGGTTGGGTCTGATAATTTGAACAAAACTCCAACGCGATAACGGGCTGTGGTCAACCGAACAAGAGATTTACTGAAATTCATCCTTTCACCCTCCTAATCTTCACCCCCAGGGCCCACTCTTCGCTTCAAGTTCATCTGAAATGTCTTCTTCAAACACCGACTTGCTAGTCTCGTAAGTTCTCTACGGGTCACCGCACCGTTTGCTCATCCTTCAACTGTAACCCTCACAGCGATGGCGCTCAAGATGTTGAGGCGCAACAGGTTGCGACCCTCATCAAAGCCATCAAGGAAGGTACTAAGTTAGATGCCTCGTACGAAGCCATTTTTACAGCTGCGATGAAAAACCCCGAGTCACACAATGCCCTTATGGAAGCTATGATGAACAACATACAATTGCAAGGCTTTGTTCTACCATACGTTTCATAATCACATCCCATTGTAAATTTGCGTACTTATAGGTCCCAACTCAACGTCGCCGACTTTCCCAAAGCGATTGAAATCCCCAGGCATGTCGTGTCACTCTTGGAATGCTTTTGACATCACCTTATAGCTCCTCAATGCTAGTGACTATGTTAAGGCCGCTGGGGGCAGCGAACATCATTCACGTTGATTCCTTCGAAACTGTATATAGAGAAACATTTGTTTCCCATCGCCTAGATAGTCCAGACCCAACTTACTTGAAATTTAAGCAGGTAAGTTTATCACTTTGACTGGGTTGCCATGCCACACTGATAACTGAAAAGTTTAATGGCCCAATTTATGGGTTGTCCATCTTCAATTCATCATTTGAAGTTGGCTCTTCCATCTTTATTGGCGAGTACTTTCCTATGGTGTTCAGCGAGATCATCAGCAGATACACTGGGAGAATAGAAGTCGTGGTGTAGGATGTGAATATTAGAATTTGGGATGTTTTGCTAGTCTTTACGGGGGTTCCCTATGTTCGAGTTGCGCCAGAAATCGCACTTATGAATACTTGTTTTACATCGGAAGTCCCACCTCAGCTGGACTCTCTTACCAAGTACAATTTATATACAACCCGAGTCATAGCATCAATCAACTATCATTTAAAGAA